AGAGAGAGAGAGAGAAGATGCTAAATTATGTCCTAATAATATAATTAAAAAAAGAAGTTTATCGATAATACTTACATACATTACTGAAGACATTGCAACGATATTAATCCAATAAAGTCGTAAGAAATAATCGATCGATGAATTATAAAAGGACGAGTTTTACCCAAGTAATAGAAATTATCTTGAGCTATCTATTCTCACTTCCGGTACTCCGGTACCAAGCTCGCTCGGCACTGTCGACGCGGATATGATGGCGTCACGACGCCGCGCGTCTCTTTTTATAAGAAACGAATGGCATCCCAAAAGCTCCCACCCTGCCGTGATATTTCGGCACGGGCCGAAATATTTGCCACGTTTCCGAATCGATTCCCAGACACTTGATTGGCTGCCAAACAGCCTTCTGCATACTCCGGAAATGATAATTCCACAATCGCGAGTATTCATTCATGTTTCATTTTACCTTCGGGAATTAGTTCGCAAACGGATCTCACTCATCCCGTTTATTTACCGAATGGACAATTCGCGATGTTCATGGAAAATGATACGCTGACATTTCCGGGAACGTCACTCTGTATCCGTCGCCATAAATTTCACTCGATAATTGTTTGCCAATTAAAATAGCATCAATGTGCGGAATGACCCAACTGTAAACTCGATCCAAGTTTGCTAATATAATTCAATTTACAAATATAATTCAATTTATTGATATAAATCAATTTGCTAATATAATTTAACTATGAATTCTTCAAAGCTGTGTTAAGATTTTGCAGAAAATTTTAATTTTACTTAATTTTATTGATCAAAAAAACAGAATTGGACTTTGGATTTAAAAATACACTGAAAAATACGCACCTTTAATGATTATATGTATTGATATATGTAATGATTATATATACAAACTTTGTATTTTCTATAGAATAAAACTTAATCTATATTTTTTATAAATTTTTACAAATCAAAAACTTTAAAAATTTTTATTACTTTTTCTGAAATGTAATGTAAAGACAATTAACAATATGAGTTTTTGATTAAAACACAAAAATATTTATTTCTAATTTTCAAAAAGGAATTTTAAGATATCTTTTTCTCTTAAATTTATCAAGATAATCTAGTCTTTTAAATAATCTAGTCTTTTAAATAAATTTAGAATTGCAATCGCGATAAATAATTTTGCGAAAGTATCAGTATTGCGTCGCAAGAGGGTCATAAATCGCTCCGATTGGCTATGCAATTATATCGGATCGCGTGCACGTCGGCCGAAATTAATGAACTTCGCGTAGCTATTCAGGAAACCTGAGTACACGCACATAACGGGCGACGAGTACAATGTGTACTCGGCAGCACGACGCGAATTTAATCTCTCAAATTAACTTTTGACCGACGACAATTTGTCATTGACAGACGGGCGAGCCGTTGAATCGCGCGAGCTCGAAGGCGTGTAAATCACGCGAGCATGAGATAGTCCATGTTGGTAAAACGCCTTACAAATATTCCACATGTTCTTAATTTGTCGATTAGGAGTCGAATAGATTTGTGAATTCTCCGCCGTGCGTGACATTCATGTTTTATTCCATCAGTCACGAGAGACTATCTCGTTAACACGGCGAATATATTTCTCCTCAACACCTTTGTCGCAATAAACATCACGGACTTTCCAATCGTTTTGTCAATTTATATCGCGAATAAGAGAAGTAGCGATGATTGAATCGATTGATCGAATTGATTTAGAAATTTCAAAAGTCATAATTCATAGAAAAAAATTAATGGCACAGTTCTCTCTTTTCTCTCGATGTTGCTTGTATTTGTAATTCTCGCGAGAATTTGAAACTTAGAATGCAGATGTATCCTTCATAAATATCCATTTCATGAGAAATGGTGCGCAAATGGGTCATGATGACCCATCCATAAATGGAGGGAGCTTCAACAAGTGACGTCTTATAACGTCACATTTTCGCTACTCTTGAAACGCGTTCCGGAATTAGAACTGTTTTTGCTCTCATCAATGATGAGTACGTCACGATGCCTTCGTAGTTACAATATCTATAAGCCCAAGAATGTGGGTATATGTATTTTTCAATTTCTCTAAGAATTTATTCTCTAGGAATTTATTATGTAAAAAACATATTCATAAATTTAAAAATCATTTTAAAATACTAATATTTCAAAGTATTTCTATATTACCAGAAATAGAATTTTAATAAATGTTTCTTATAAAAAAAATAATAAAAAATAATCAACTTTCTTGAAGATACAAAATAATCTTTACAATTATTATTTTTATAATTTTATTTTTTTAATTGTATCAAACAACCTTTGTTCGAACTATTTGATTCTTGAGAGTTGATTCTTGAAATGTTCTTACGATTTCCATTTTGTAAATATCATAATATGTTTTTTTTAACATTTGAAGCTTAAACAAAAAATTTTTGAATTATAAAATTTTGAGTAAGAAAACCTCTTTCTATTTACTAGGTGAATAAAGTAATAAAAGCTCGGTTTTAATATTTGTGACTGAAATCTTTGGGACAAACTTAAAGATCCGCAGTTATAAATATACTATTTAAAATTCCAAGCGTCGTATAACGATCGTCGTACATGTGCGTGAAGGATTCTATAAATTATCCTACCGATGATTCTGACGTGGCGATGACCCGTCCGCAAATTTCGTTCTGCTTGTCACTCAATAAAAAAATCTTACATGAGGAATGCAGTAAACCGCGATCAGCAGAAATAACGAAAGTGTAGCCTAACCTAAGACAACACGAAAGGTCGACCATATGTATGCTATAAATAATCCTTAGGGAACGAGAGGACATTCATTTGAAGCAACGAAAATGAAACTTATGGTGGCTAAATAAAATAAAGAAGTATCTTCATTCAAATGTATCAAAAGAACTTTGAAAAAAATTTTCTCTAACGTTAGATTAAATCTTCCTGTTTGCTGTAAGATTGAAGACGTAACTATCTACAGTTTATTATTTCTTCTATATCGAGAGGATTTTATGAAGATGTTTTCTCCTGGAGATCATGAAATTTAAATTTAGACATGATATTGCTTGTAAGATATGATTGGTCAAAGCTATCTGTATAATAGTGATATTCTTCAAATTGATGAAGTATACTCGTTCATTTTTGGCATGCAAGATCAGATTTTAAAATAATTAGGTATATCTGTGTTGATGGATTTATGCAACTAAACTCGAATTAAAGCCGTAAGATCGCTCAAATGACACACTAAATTCATTTCTTGAATTATCTGGACTGGGAATAGAACCACCTGGTACTGAAACGCTGTAATTTGAAATTAATGAAGCAAGCATATCTATAAGGACAAGTATGCGAATTAAAATCGCGCAATTCAAATCTAATGATTAACTTAAGAAACTTATAAGTTAAAAAATTAAAGAATATATATTGGATGTTTAATAATAAAAATATCTTAATAGATAAATTGGAGAAAGACATATTTGCCAAAAATTAAAAACTTTTAAAAGCAATTCTAGGATTTAGTTTAAATTAAATTTAATCATAAAACTTACAATTATGCAAAATATATAAATTATAAAATTAATACAAAAATATCTGAAAAATTTGTTGTTAAAATGCGATATTATAATAAGTATTTAACATCCAAGAAAGGAAAGAAGAGCATGAGATAATGAAAAAGAATTTTTAAAAGTCTAAAATGAATAAATATGTGAAAAATTAAATATATACATTATGTATGAAAGAAAGAGAAAGAAACAGAAAGTGTGAGTTTAGATACGATAAATATGTAATTAAAATAATTTCATGTGTTGAAATTTTCATAATACTGAATATATATTGAAAGATCGCTTAATTTTACGAAGATTAAGATGAATGCATGCGCCATTGACCGCTATCAACGATACGTGGGCGTAAAATGAGACATGTCAGTATGCAAGCCTTTTCTTTGCCTCAGTCTTGAAATATTTGGCACTCGAGTCTGTCTTTCGTGTTAGTCATATAGTCAGTATTCACGCGACTAACAATACGCCCACTTCCACATCCGCATCTGCATCCAGTTCCGCTTCCACCCCATTTTTAGAATATAACTGATAGATCTTTTGGTTGTCCTTTCAAAAAATATCTTAATATATAATAAAAATTCTTAATATATTATATAAAAAAGTTTTATTAACAGAACAAAGTTTGTTACAAAACAGTAGCCAAGAGATAAAGCAATTGCAATAAAAAGATAAAAATATACTTTGGTCATTTCTTGCTATCTATTCACTCTTTTAAAGAAAATTCTTGTTGAAGACATCTCAATATCATTTTATTGTATAAATTTCTAAGCTTTTCAATCAACATCCATAAAATTCCAAAGCAACGTACAACATTCATTGATATAACAAAGAATACGAACAGAATTATCTTTGATACCTTGTTTATAGCGTGGAGAATATATTTTGAGACTTCTTGGGATACCGTCGAATCTGCATCTTGTAAAAGAATATAGATCGGGTCATCGAACACAAGAAAGATTGTAATTTATTTGCCTGTTGCCTTGGTCGAACGCCAGACATGACCTCGTTTGACGCGACGTCTTTCTTTCTTGCTTGACAGTTCAAAGTACGACATTTGGCGTTTGTTGCGAGAATTTCGAAACTGTTTGTCTCTCTCTCCCTCTCTC